CCCACCGTCGGAGCGGAGTGGGCTCCTGCGAGGTCGGTGGCATTGGCGCCGTCCGCTGCCGCCACGGCGGCGGCCCCGGCGGCGGCCGCCGTCGGGGGGTCCTGGGTGGCGCCGGACCCTGTTTGTTTTCTTTGATTCCTCGTTTATTCGTCGGAGTTATTCTTTCCCACGTCCCTAAGTGTGGTTTTTGTTTTCCCTGGGCACCCCGCGCAGTCCTCCTCCTCCCATCCCCTCCTTTTCCCAACCTTGGGCATCACCAACACCGTCATCATCATCATCATCATCATCATCATCATCATCAGCATCATCGTCATCATCAATATCATCATCCATGATCATCATCATCATTGCCGTCATAGTAATCTTCATCGGCATCATCATCATCATCGTCATCATCATCCCAATCATAAGCACACAACTGCTATCATCATCGTCATCATCTGCATGGTCATCATCATCATTAGCTTTGCCCTCCTCGTACCCATCACCACCATCATCACCATCATCGACAACATCAACATCATCATCAGCGTCATCACAACCATCATCAGCATCATCATCCTCGTGACCAACAATGTCATACTCACCGATCACGATCATTCAACTCACTCAGCCAACCACCCACACACGATCATCATCACCATCATCACCAGCGTCATCATCATCACCACAACCATCATCACCGCTATCATGAATCATCATCACCATCACCATCATCAACTTTACATACTCACAACATCATCATCGCTCGCTTGTTTGCAGACTGTCGTCACTTTTGGGACCACCAATCGTGAATCTGGAGAAAATCTCGAGCGGGAGCGTCGTCTGTGAGTGAGTAAGTTTCAAAGACGTCTCGAGCAGGACCCCCCTCCTTTTGGGCCCGCACCTCATATTAGTAATCTGGGCGGGTCATCGGGAAACCTGTAACTGCGGTCACTTTGGAGATCCTGGGGCCTGAATATGAAGGAGATATCAAAAAGGAGTGTCGTCTGTTAGGGAAGCCCGGAGACGTCTCAAGCGAGAGACCCCTCCCTATGGGGCCCGCACTTCATATCAGTAATCTGGGTAGGTCGTCGGAAAACCTTTGACAGCCGGCACTCTGGGCTTCCTGAAGCCTAAAATTGGGCGAAGTATCAGGCGGGAGCCTCGTCTGTGAGTGAATCGCGAGGCAGTCTTGAGCGGGAGCCCGCTCCTAACGGGGCCCGCACCTCATGTTAGTACTGTGGGTGGGTTATCTTGGCGGCGCGCACGGGGGGGTGGGGGGAGCGGGGAAGGCTTCCTGGGAGGAGGCCGCTTCTTAGAAGATGCCAGCTCTACATCTACAGACAAGGCCCGCATCGTCTGAGAAGCAGGGGTGCTCCTAACAAGCCTTCCCCCCTCCCCCTGCCCCCCTCTGCGCGTGGATAATGATCGGGAAACCTGCAACCGTCGTCACGGATGTCTGGGACCACCATGACGGCCCAGCATGTTTTTTTTTTTTTTTGCTTTACTCCGCAGCCCCCGACCGCTTCCACCTGGGCACTGATCCGTCCCGGATCCACTCCTGATGGCCCTGGGGACCAGGGCCAGGCACAAAGGAGCCAAGCAACTGCACACACACATAATCTCTCCTGGAGGTCCGCCCGCGCGGAGCGTCGACACTTTGATTCTGCGTCTTTCGTCCTCGATGGAAACCGGCGTCGGGGAGCTACTGGCCCGGGTCAATCCAGACCGGGGTCAGTGAGGCCTTGCAGGATCCTGCTAGGATCCAGCAGGATCCTGCACCCAACCCTGGGTCAAGGCGCCCATGGCTCTGCAGAATCCTGCAAGATCCGGCGCTCTGACTGACTCCCGTTTGCACTGACCCCCGTCTCTTGAGCCTCGGCCGACGTCGGACGAAACACACGCCAGGACTCGAAAGATCAGGCCGTCGGAGATCCCAGAGGAAAGAACAACGGCATGAGCAAAAAGTCTTGGCGGTCCGCGCGGACCTCTTGGATCCGCGCTGGCCCCCCCCTGAAATCCGCGCGGAGCGCCAAAAGTTCATGTTTATGCCGTTCTCTTCTTCGAGGGAGGGAGGGAGGGAGGGAGGGAGGGAGGGAGGGAGGGAGGGAGGGAGGGAGGGAGGGAGGGAGGGAGGGAGGAGGAGGAGGAGGAGGAGGAGGAGGAGGAGGAGGAAGGAGGAGGAGGAGGGAGGAGAGATCTGGGGATGCCTGGGACCAACACGACGGCGACGGCGACGGCAGGCCCAGGCAGCCCTCCTCCTGCGGCTCGTCCCCCTCGTGGATGCGGGCCGCCTGCTGCAGCCTCCCCCGGGGGCGCGCGCGGTGGACGCCGCCGCCGCCGCAGCCGCCTCTCGAGGAACAAATAATGACATACGGTGGAGGCACTTTTGCCGACACATGCGTAAAACAACTTGACTTCGGATATTATATATATATATAATACACATGCGTATCTATATATATGTATATAAATATATATATGCACATATGTATATACATAGATATAGATATAACGGTGCACCGGAACCTCGACCGCAAATGTGAGTCCCGGGGACCTCGCCCGCCTCTGAGAGGCTTAAAATCGCCCTGGGGAGCCCTCGGATAGCAATCCCGGCGGCCCCAGACGGTCTCGAGACACCCCCAAGACGCCGTCCAGGGGTCTCTTGCGACGCACGATGCATTTCAAACTGCCCCGAAGGCTCCCAAGACGCCCCAAGAGGCCTGAAAGATGTCGAGACAAGGTTCGTACAACGCCCCCCCGCCTATGTCGGCACACCCGTCACACAAATCATGCCCCAGAAGGAGCTTCACCTATGGGACCAATGGGCAGCTTCGCATGGCGTTCCCCCGTCCATTTCAGAACATCCCTCGCACGGGTCGTGCCAGGAGGAGGTCCACCTGCGGCGTCAAAGGGGTTTTTGCGCGGTGGCATCCAAACTCATTCGGCACACCCTGCACGCGGATCGTGCCTCACGAGGAGTCCAGCGCACCCGTGCACGCGTGCTCCGCAGCAGCCATCTTTCCGCATTGTCCCGCGGCGCGCAGTGTATGAAGAGAGACCCGCACCCTGAGAGAAGACAATTTGGCCTCCCGCAGGGGCCCTCCCGGGGCGCATCTTGGAATCTTCGTGGGACGTTTTCGTGGCCTCTTGAGCCGTCTTATTCGCGCGTCTGCGGCCTTGTCAGTCCGCTCTGGTCGCTTCTAGCCTCTGGAGCTGTTTGGGCGGCGGGGAAAAGGCCCAGGAGGCCCAGGAGGCCCCGCACGGGGTCAACAATGACGTGGGCCAGGGGGTGGGATCCAGGAGGGTCTGGGCCTTGGCCTCAGGGCCCCTGGTACCCCAGCGCTGATATCTATATTTATTTATTTATATATATATATATATATCTATATATACACACACGTGTCTGTATATAAACCATCGCGCGCGCTGGGTCATCTGGGGGGTTCTCCGTGCTTCCTCTGGGGGGCATCTGGGGGGCATTCGGGCGGTTGCGGCCCTGTCAGGCCGCTCTGGTCGCTTCTAGCCTCTGGAGATGTTTGTGCGGCGGGGGAAAGGCCCAGGAGGCCCAGGGGCCCAGGAAGCCCCGCACGGGGTGAAACATGCCGTGGGCCCGGGGGGGATCCGGGAGGGTATCTGGGCCTGGGCCCAAGGGCCCCTGGTCCCCAGAACCATCGCGCGCGCTTCGCGCGCGCTCAGGCTCCAGCCCAGGCCGGGGGGGCGCTGGACGATCTTGGACGTCGCTATCAAGCACAGGCGCGCGACGGCATTTGAGGAGCTACTGGGGTGTTCCGCATGCTTCGTCAACTGGCTGTTGGAGGCACCTCTTGGGTGCTTCTTGGGGGGGCGTCTGAGGGTCCCTTGGGGGCATCGGTTCTGCAATCTGAAGCCGTCATTGGCCGTCTTGGCTGCGTGGAGGCCCGACTTGAGGCCACCTGCGGCCAGATTGAGGCAATCCTGAAGCCTCCCGGGGGCCTCCTGGAAGCAGTTTTGACGCATCGAGGGCACTCTTGGGCTATTTTAACACCTCTTGGACGTCTCCTAGGGGCCTGTTGGTCCCTCGGGAAGCTTTTGGCGTCCTCGTCGGACCACTTGAGGGCCTCTTGCGGCCTCCTGTGGGTCTTTGGGGGGGAACGCTCTGCTGTTGGGTCGCGTTTCCCTTCTTGGGCCTCTCTTGGGGCTCTTCGGGCCCTCTCGGGCCGTCTTGGGCGCCTCAAGCACCGTCTTGGGGCCCTCGCAGGCCGTCTTGGGGCCCTCTTGGAGGCCTCTTCCTCTATATTGGAACGGTATTGGAAGCCTCTTGGGCCGTCTTGGAGCATCGGGATGCCAAAAGGCCGAAACAATTAAAACCCGTCAAAGCCCAATCGTAAAACAATGAGTTGTGCCTCTTGGGGCCGCCTTGGGAGATCTCTTGGAACCTCGTCGGCCCTCTTGGGAGCTTCTTGGGGGCCTCTTGGATCCGCTCGGGGGCCTCTTGGGACTTCCCCAGAACCTCTCGGGGTAGAAAGCTCGGATTCTCGGTTCGTGCTTCCCTTCTTGGGCCTCTCTTGGGGCCGTCTTGGGGCCCTCTCGGGCCGTCTTGGGCACCTCAGGCACTGCCTTGGGGCCCTCGTGGGCCGCCCAGGGCCCTCTTGGAAGCCTCTTCGGCTATCTTGGAGCTGTCTTGGAGACCTCTTCCTCCTCCTCGTCCCCCTCCTCCTCCTCCTCCCACTCCAACTCTCTCTCCTCCTGATCCTCCTCCTCCTCCTCCTGCAGCGTGTTCCGGAAGGCTCCCGCCGGAACATGCTGTGCACAAGTGCTGTCACTGCTCCCGCCACCGTGCCCTGGGTGGTGGGTCGGAGGCCTCATGGGTGTTGGTTTGGATCTCGTGGTTGGCCTGTCGGGGACGTCGTGAAGGCAGTTTCGCAGCTTCTCGGTAGCCGTTTTGGGACCGTTGTGGGGCCTCCTCGGGGCTGTTTTGTGGCCTCTTTAGGCCTCGTTCGGGCCTCCTGGGTGCCTCTTGGGGGCCTCCTGGGGCCTCTTGGGGGCTCCTTGGGGCCTCCTGGGGCACTCTTCAAGTCGGAGGGTCGAATTTTGGAATCGTGGTCCCCCTCTTGGGCGCATCGTGGGGCCGTGTTGGGGCTCTGTTGGACGGTCTTGGGCGACTCTGGGGCCCTCTTGGGGCCCTCTTGGGCCGTCTTGGGGCGCTTGTGGGGGCCTATTGAGCCGTCTTGGAACGTCGGACAGCCGAAAAGGCTTGAAGGCCAAAATCGTTCGAAAACCTTCGTAAAATTGACGATTTCGGCCTCTTGAAGTGCTCTGGAGAGGCGTCGTGAAGCGTCGTGGAGTGCCTTGGGGGGCATCGCGGGCCGTCTTGGGCCTATCTTGGGCGTCCCGGAGCGGTCTTTCGTCCGGAACGCGCTTGGGCAAGCGCTGGGTTTGGGGAAGGCGAGTGGGAACCGTTCAGGCAGTTTGGGATGCTCGGGGCAAGAGGCGGAAGTCATCCTCATAAGACATGATGCAGTCTTCCTGGAGTCCGCCGGAACGCCTGGAATGATCACGCGCTGCGGTTTCCCATGCCAACGTCCTCGGACGTGGGCGCCCTGCCACGAGCGCGTTCTGGGAAGATGCTCCCGGAACGCGCTGAAAAGATCTCGAGGCTCCCAGGTGGCCTCCAAGAGACCCCAAGAAGTCTGATAGGTATCGTGCACGGTACGGCCCGAAGAGCGCCGAAGAGCCTCCCAAGACCGGCCCAAGACCACCCAAGAGACCCTCAGGACGGCCCCAAGACAGGCCAAGAAGGCTCCAAGACTGCCGAAGAGGCGCCCAGCACAGCCCCAGACCACCCCAGAACAGGCCCAAGATGGGCCCAAAAACGGGAGCAGGAGGCTTCCAGAGACCTCCGAGAGGCCTCCGGGACCCCCCAGAGGCCCCCAACACACCCCCCATCCTTGAGAGGCCCCAAAGAGACCCCGACGAGGCTCCAAGAACAGCCCAAGAGAGCTGCGAGAGCCGTCCCGAGAGAGCCCAAAGAGGGCAAAATCGTTGATTTCCAATGGTTTTTCCTATGTTTTTCGCCTTCTCCCTCGTGGGCCGCCCAGGGCCCTCTTGGAAGCCTCTTCGGCTATCTTGGAGCTGTCTTGGAGGCTTCTTCCTCCTCCTCGTCCCCCTCCTCCTCCTGATCTTCCTCCTCCTCCTCCTCCTCCTCCTCCTCCTCCTCCTCCTCCTGCAGCGTGTTCCGGAAGGCTCCCGCCGGAACATGCTGTGCACAAGTGCTGTCACTGCTCCCGCCACCGTGCCCTGGGTGGTGGGTCGGAGGCCTCATGGGTGTTGGTTTGGATCTCGTGGTTGGCCTGTCGGGGACGTCGTGAAGGCAGTTTCGTAGCTTCTCGGTAGCCGTTTTGGGACCGTTGTGGGGCCTCCTCGGGGCTGTTTTGTGGCCTCTTTAGGCCTCGTTCGGGCCTCCTGGGTGCCTCTTGGGGGCCTCCTGGGGCCTCTTGGGGGCTCCTTGGGGCCTCCTGGGGCACTCTTCAAGTCGGAGGGTCGAATTTTGGAATCGTGGTCCCCCTCTTGGGCGCATCGTGGGGCCGTGTTGGGGCTCTGTTGGACGGTCTTGGGCGACTCTGGGGCCCTCTTGGGGCCCTCTTGGGCCGTCTTGGGGCGCTCTTGGGGGCCTATTGAGCCGTCTCGGAACGTCGGACAGCCGAAAAGGCTTGAAGGCCCAAATCGTTCGAAAACCTTCGTAAAATTGACAATTTCGGCCTCTTGAAGCGCTCTGGAGAGGCGTCTTGAAGCGTAGCGTCGTGGAGTGCCTTGGGGGGCCTCTCGGGCCGTCTTGGGCCTATCTTGGGCGTCCCAGAACGGTCTTTCGGCGACTCGGGGCCCGCTTGGACCGTCTTGGGAGCCTCTGGAGGCCCTCCTGGACTATTTTGGGCCTCCCCGGCCGCCCCGTCCTTCCACGGGGGGTCGGAGGCGGCGGCCTCCGAGGCCCAGGACCCGGAAGCCCTATAAAAACACAAGGAAAATGAGCCCCGGTACCCCCATGGAGGGTCGGGGCAGCTGTTTTCGGGCACCGGGCCTTCTGGTGCCTCTTGGGGGTCTCTGGGGCCTCTTGGGGCTCCTTTGGGGCCTCCCGGGGCCCTGTGGAGGCGGGAGGCTCGAATTTCCGGTTCGCGGTTCCCCTCTTGGGGCCGTCTTGGGCCTCTCTTCGCCCGTCTTGGGCGCGTCTTGGGCCGTCTTGGGGCCCTCCAGAGCCGTCTTGAGGCCCTCTTGGAGGCCTCTTGGGCTGTCTTGGGGCGTCCGCGGGGGGCCTGTGAGCCGTCGTGGAGCGTCGGAGAGCTGAAAAAAGGCGGGAAAGGCAAAATGCATCCAAAACCTTAGAAAAATTAGCGATTTTGGCCTCCTGGGGCCCTCTGGGAGGGCCTCTTGGAAGCCTCTTGGAACGTCTTGGGGGCCTCTTGGGGGTCTCCTGGGGCCTCTTGGGGCCCGTTTGGGGCCTCCCGGGGCCCTGTGGAGGCGGGAGGCTCGAATTTCCGGTTCGGGGTTCCCCTCTTGGGGCCCTCTTGGGGCCGTCTTGGGCCTCTCTGGGCTGTCTTGGGCCGTCTTGGGGCCCTCCAGAGCCGACTTGAGACCATCTTGGAGGCCTCTTGGGCTGTCTTGGGGCGTCCGCGGGGGGCCTGTGAGCCGTCGTGGAGCGTCGGAAAGCTGAAAAGGCGGGAAAGGTAAAATGTGTCCAAAACCTTCGTAAAATAAACGCTTTGGCCTCTTGGGGCCCTCTGGGGGGGCCTCGTGGAGGCCTCTTGGAGCGTCTTGGGGGCCTCTTTGGCCGTCTTGGGCTTATCTTGAGTATCTTGGGGCCCTCTTGGCGCCCTCTTGGGCCTCTTGGGGCCTGCTGGGCCTGTCGTGGAGCGCTCTCGGGGCACTCTTGGGCCGCCTGGGCTGCTCCAGGGAGGCTCCAGGCCCCCCCCGTGGCCCCCATGGGGGTCCGAGGCTCCAATCTGGCGGCCCCAGGTCCCGTTCCCGTGTGTGTGTGTGTGTGTGTGTGAGTTGTGTGTGTGTGTGTGTGTATATATATATATATCTCTCTCTCTGTGTAGCCTTTGTCTCTCCAGTCCTGTTTCCTGCCTCCCGTTTCCTGTCTGCTAAGAGGCCCCGCCGCGTCACCAAAGGGGGGGCTGAACCTTAAATCCGGGCTGCTCCGGGCCACCCCAGGATTCTCATGGTGACGCCACCGCGCGGCCACAGGCCCGAGAGGCCTCTCAGATTGTCCGAAGAGGCTCCGAAGAGAGCCTCAGGAGGCCAATACGGACTAAGATGGCCTCAATATGTCCCATGATGGCCCCAAGACGGCCCAAGATGCTCCCAAGACGGCCCAAGAGGCCTCCAAGAGGGCCCCACGAAGCAAACATCAACGATCTCCCTAACGTTTTGAAGGTTTTTGGCCTTCTCGCCTTTTCGGCTTTCCGACGCTCCGAGACGGACCAAGAGTTCCCAAGATCGCCCCACGACGGCCCCAGAAGCCCCCTATGACGGCCCAAGAGGCCCCCAAGACGGCCGACGAGGGCCCCAAGACGGTCCAAGAGGCGCCCCAGACGGCCCAAAGGGCCCTAAGACGGTCTCAAGAGAGGCCCAAGAGGGAGCCCACGAACCGAAAACTCGACCTTTCCGCCTCGAGAGGGCCCCAGGAGGCCCCAAGAAGGTCCCAAGAGGCCCCAGGAGGCCCCCAAGAGACCCCAAGGGGACCCCTAGGAGGCCCCAATGAGACTCCCGCGCAGCCGCCCGCACTAGCAATAGGGGGGCCGGCGGCAGAGGGCCAAGCCCTTACGCTATATATATATATATATATATATATATATACATGTACATACAAAATACAGGGAGAGAGAGAGAGAGAGAGAGAGAGAGGGATAGAGGGAGAGAGAGAGAGAGAGAGAGAGAGAGAGCGAGAAAGAGAGAGAGAGAGAGACAGAAAGAAACAACAGAGAAAGAGAAAGACACATCGAGAGAACTAAATACATACATAGAGCGAGAGAGAGAGAGAGAGAGAACCAACGTGAGTCATGCAGGCAAGAGCCCCTGAGAGACCCGTGGGCTGCTCAGGGCCACGGTGAAGGCAGTGGATAAGGAACCATTGGATAAGGAATCTAGGGCCTCGAAACTGGTGGGAAACCAATTGAGGCTCGGTCGCGGATATCACCTCCGCCCTCCTCAGATACATAATCCCCCAGGTTCTGACGTCTCCTGGACACATTTTTGAATGAATGCCCCCACCGTGAGCCGAAAATTTTAGGAGTCCCGCGCGGATTGCTTGGATCGGCGACGGACTCACCCCCCCTGGCGCTAAGGACATCCGCGCGGACCGTTGAAAGTTTCTGTCTATGCCATCTTGTGTTCCTTGACTGCTGCCCCGCCCCCGCTGAGGGGCAGAGTTTGGGATGGACCAGCTCGGGGGGAAACATCGACCTTGAATCGACGATGAATCCCCGACAGGTCAGCGATAGCGAATCCGCACGTTCCAGGGAGGGGTGGGCTTTCAGGCCCCATCGGCGATGGATGGGCGAATGGGGGTCGATGCGTCCCCCCTGAGCCCATCTCCCCCTACCGTTGTCGGCAACTCCAGAAGGTGTGGCTTGCAAAGTGTGTGGTTTGCAACCAGCACCGTGGGGGGCACCCTGGGGGGGCACCCTGGGGGGCGGGCGAGGACCTCGACAGAGCTCTCCGCCGCGCCAGGAGGAGACCCGACGAAGACGTTATCCCGCCCCCCACGCCCCGCCGGTGCCGATCGCAAACCACACCCCGGCGTAACCAGGACCCTCTGTAGTCGCCGAGTGGGCGGCGCGGCGCGGCAGGGAAGAGGGAGGGAGGAGGAGGAGGACGAGGAGGAGAGCAGGAGGAAGGAGGGAGGGAGGAGGAGGAGGACGAGGAGGAGAGCATGGGGGGGAGGGAGGGAGAGAGGGAGGGAGGAGGAGGAGGAGGAGGAGCGAGGAGGAGGAGGAGCAGAGAGGGAGGAGGAGGAGGAGGAGCAGGAGGAGGCGAGGAGGAGGAGGAGGAGGAGGAGAAGGAGGAGCATATCTCCCCCTACCGTTGCCCCTGACCCGCCCCTCCCCCAGCCAGGCGTCTTCCGCTGCCGGGTCGCGGCGGCCCCCGGAGGCCAGCTTCGCGGCCCGCTGCTCGACGGCAGACCAGCGGCGCCACTCGGCCTCTGCGGCCCTCGCCTCGGCCTCCTGTCGGGGCCGCAGCGCGGGCCGCCGCCGGCGCGACGCTTTGCCGCCCGCGTCGCCGTCGTCGGAGGCATCGTTGTTCTGATCTTCTTCCTGCCCCCCCTTCCTTTCGGACGCAGCCAGCCCCCTCCCATCTTCTCCGCCCCCTCCCCTTCCTCGCTCCTCCTTCCTCCCTCGCTCCTCCTGCTCCGCTACGCCCTCCTCCTTCCTGGGAGGAGGAGGGGGAAGAGGGGGGAGGATGGGGGGAGGATGAAGGTGAGGAGGACAAGGAGAAACAGGAAGAGGAATCTCAAGAGGAAGAGGAGGAGGGGGAGGAGGAGGAGGAGGAGGAGGAGGAGGAGGAGATCCTGCCTCCTCCTCCTCCTTCTCTCCTCTTCCTCCTCCTCCTCCTCCTCCTCCTTTCGACTTTGCGAGGGCACTGGGCCTAGATGCCATATCTGGGAGACGCTCTGGCGGGAAAGGAAACAGGTAGTGATACGCTGTGCAGATAATGTTGCGCCCTATCAGTGGAGAGGACACAGGAGGTGAAGTGCGGGAGCGAGCCAGAAATTCATCACCGTTTTCCTCCTCCTCACTCGCTCGCTTGCGTAGTAAGGGTCGTACCGATCCACCCGTGCTGGCGAAAAGGCCGAGGAAAGACAACTATGAAGAGACTCCTCCTCCCACTTCCTCTCCTCCTCCTCCTCCGCCTCCTCTTCCTCTTCGTCTTCCTCACCTCCTTCGCCACCCTTTTTCCTTATCTGTCACACCCCGCGACCTGTCGGTTGGGCGGGCCGGTCGTTTCGCCTGAGGCTTCCTCACCATCGTCTGAACACATTGCAACAGCTTCGCGGATGGAGGGCGGGTGGTATTCTAAATGTGGCTCTCGCTTCAGCACCGCGCACATTCGTCTCAACGTGGGCGACAATTTCACGGACGGGGGGCGGGTGGTTTCCAACATGTGGTTCTCACCTGAGCGTCGCGCACATTCTTTTGAAAACTTGGCCACAGTTTCAAGGATGGATGGCGGCTCCTTTTCAAGATGTGGCTCTTGCCTTCGGGCCGCACGCACTCGTCTTGAAGGTTCGCAATGTTTTCAATGATTCGTATGGTTGACGTCCCAAGACTGGCGTTCTGGCGCAATTCAGGATTGTCCAGACGCATCACGATAATTCGTGGTGTTGAAGTTCCAAGAATTGTGTGTTCGGTCCCGTTTAGGCTTTGCAGGATGTAACAGTCACGTTGGCTCGCGGCGCTGAAGTACCAAGAATTGTGCAGACGGGTATCTTTCAATAGGGCACTTTGCGCAATGAGCATGCGTTCTTGTAGTGACCTGTGAAGAGGGATATTTGAAGGAGGGCTTAATGCAACATCGTTGATGCGTCTTCGGTTTGCACTGGTTCTCCTCCTTCCCCTCCTCCTGCCCCTCGTCCGCGCGCGCGCGCCTGCCTTCATGCCCCAACCGAGCGCAGCACACTCGCTCCGGGGACGGCGCGCGCAAGCCTGCCCCTCTCCCAAAAGTACCTCCCGATGGACCCTGGGGCCCGAGAGCGGATGCCAGATGCCGATCTACGCAGAAGGCATCTGTACTTAGGTCGGGCATGTTCCCATACAAACGGATCTTGGGTGAAACATAGAAATATAAAGCAGTCTAACACCACCACCGTGCCAAGCCAATACCATCCTGGCCCTGGCATGGTGTATACGCCCTCCCGGCCGAGGCCGAGGAGGGTCTACACCCCATCCTAGGGCCCAGCATGGCCCTGGCCTGGCACGGTGGTGGTGTGCATCAGTTACAGTAGGGGCCTGACCACAGGAAACCTCCCACAAGAAACTCAACCCTGAGGCCCCAGGACGTCCATTGGTTTTTGGTATGGGAAGGAGCGTCACGCTTTCCACAGCAAAACAATCGAAACCCCAAAAAAACCAGGGCGCCCTGGAGGCAAGCGGGGTGATTTTTGGCATGGGTCTCCACTGTATAGACACCTTCGCCGGACGATACCGGAGAGCACCCCCCCCGATTCTCAGAACCACGGCGCCGCAGGTCCGCGCACCTGCGCCCCGACGACCCCAGACCCCCGACGTCATGATTTTTTCATGACGCGACCCCCAGAGGTCCGGACCTATTCGCCGGGACCGGTTTTCCATTCTGAGTAGTTTTTTCACGGTCCCGAGGCCTGGTGAGGACCTCCAGAGGGCGAAAATAGCGAAAAACCTGCCGTCGTGATTTTTTCACGACGCGATGGGGTCTGGGACTCGCGATCCCGCGTGCCTGCCCAGGCGGGCATCTCGGCGGCCCGAAACGGCGGCCCCTCGGTCGCCCTTCGGTGGCGGCGGCGCGGCGGCGGCGAGGACGGCGAACCCGGCCGCCCCCCCGAGATGTTTTGCCGGCCGCGGCCCCCGAGAGCCCTGGACCTCCCTGAGGTCTATAAAGGGAAATTAGGACACACAAATAAATACACACAAATAAAAACATCCCCCACATTTTCCCACATTTTCTGGGCTTCTGTCTTCCCCCCCACTTCCCATCTTTTCCCATGTTTTCTGGGGATCGCCGATTCATTGTGTCTGTGTGCTTTTTCTCCCCTCCTGAGGTCTATAGGCGATGCACTTTTTCCACGGTGGTGGGCGTTCTCGCCTGCTTTCGGGCCGCGGGGCCCTCACGGATCGATCCGGATCGAACAGCGGCGCAGAAGGATTGGGTCTGGGGCTCCGGTGGTGATTTGTTGCAACACCTCGCTCGTGTCCTGAGATGGGGTCCTTGTCATTACGTTGACGTCTCCAGACCGCCTCTCCTTCTTCTCCCCCTCTTCCTCTTTTTCCATTCTCATACCACTCATATGCTCATACTTATACGACACCCTTCGTGTGATGAGGAGGTTCGGGGGGAAAAACAACGTCTCCCTCACTCGATCCCACCATCGATCTCACTATCGATATCGCTATCGATTTTTCCGTCGGTCTCACTATCGGTCTCCCTATCGATATCACTAGCGAAATCACCATTGATCTCAATATCGATCTTACGATCAATCTCGCGATCGATATCGCTACCGATATTTCTATCGATGCCACCATCGATCTCACTGTCGATTTCACCATCGATTTCACGATCAATTTCAAAATCGAACACACTACCGATTTCACTATCGATCTCACTATCGATCTTGTTGCCCTTTTCACTATCGGTTTCGCTTTTGGTCTCGTCACCGTTATAACAATCGATCTTACTACAAGGCACCGGCGGGACGCCGACGGGACACCACGGCGGGACACCTGGAGCCACCGCCCGCGGACAACGACGGGACACCGACGGGACACAGTGGCGGGACACCACGGCAGGACATCCCCGGCCACGCTTGCCCACCGGAGGGGCGGTCTTTTGTCTGGACCCTCCCTGGCCAGAGCGGAGTCATTCCTCTTGCCCGCCCACGCAGCTTCGACTCGCCCGCACGCACGGCACGAACCCGAAACCGACACGTCGGTCTTACGCCCCAAGTCCCCGGTCCAGATCAATCACACACCTCACGGGGTCCTTTACAAACCCGTTTTTTTCCATAGGCTCCATCACAAACCCACTCTGTCTCACGCAAATTCAGCCACAACACTCCCTCATTCAGGATCAGTCAGACTCAAACTCACGCGTACCGATTCAAGCATTTACCCTCAGACGCACTCGGACGAATGCACGCTCAAACTCTTTCACTCCGACACGCTCCTCCTCACTCAGATTCACTCGAATCTTTCTGGTTGTCCACGGTTCGCCGCGATATAGCAAACGTGGAATTCGGGCAGGCCAAAAGGGAACCGCGATGGGGGGAGGACACACCATTCTGCCCCCAAACATCCTGCGTTTTCGAAGTATATAGTGGGGATGTCTCACGCGAGACGCTGGTTTCAGCACTCCCAGAAAAGGGGGGGGTGGCGCCAACAATGAAGACACTCCTAGGTTCGCGCCCAGATCGTGGGCATGACTCAAGCGGTTTGCCTGTTTCTGCTCCTTACGTAAACCTTCCTTATTTGGTGGTCTGGTGGTCCAATCCTCATTGCGGTATGGCGCGGGTGGCACTTGGGCACCCCAGTGAGGGGCCGCCAATTGTGAGGACACTCCAGGATTCACGCCCATATTGAGGGGACGTCTCAAGCGGTTCGCTTGTTTCTGCCCCCGTACACTTTCGTGTTTGGGTGGTCCACTGCTCACCATGATATAGCACGCGTGGCACTGGGGCACCCTAAAAGGGGGGCCGCCAAGGGTGAGGACACTCTAGGATTCGTGCCCATCTTGTGTGCATGTCTCAATCGGTCTAACTGTTTCTGCCCTTCAAAAGGTGCCCAGGGATATACAGCAGGCGTCGAATCTGGGCACTCCACGGGGGAGCCGCCATGGGCGAATACATTCCAGAACTCGCGCCCAGATTGTGGGGATGTCTCAAACGGTTTGCCTGTTTCTGCCGCCCAGGCTTCTCCCTTTGGTGGTCCACTGCTCACCGCGTTCAAGCAAGCGTGACATCAGGGCACCCCACGGGGGAACCGCCAAGAGTGAGGACACTTCAGGATTCGCGCCCATCTTGTGGGCATGTCTCAAGGAGTTCGTCACACACACTCAACCTCGGACTCGCCCACGCTTAGACTCACTGACGCTCAGGCCCGCTCGCACTTAGACTCGCTCGCGCCTACACTCGTGCATTTTCGGACCCACTCGTACTCAGACTGGCTGGATTCATATTCGCTAACACTCAGGCTCAATCTTACCAGGACTTATTCACAGTCCGAATCGCTCACGCTCACATCACCCACGCTGAGAATCACTCGCGCTGCGGCTGACACACAACTTACTACCGCGATATAGCCGGCGTGGCACCTGGGCGCCCCAAGTGCCAGCAGGCGCCGCGAGTAACACGCCAGCGAGCAAGCGTAGCAACGCCATGCGCGTTTGCCTGCGTTGCCGCGGGGAGAACGACAAGAGGAACTCCCCCTCCGTCTTCTGTTTCCCTCGTCTCTACTGAAAAATGCCCAGATGATGCAAACGTCGCTGAAATCATCGCTGTCGTCGTCGTCGTCGTCGTCGTCGTCGTCGTCGTTGCTGCGTCTGTCGTCTACGCGGACTCGCTTTCACACCCGAGTGCTCGTCAAAGACAGAGTTCTCCAGCGATCTGTGACAGGAGTTTGGGATGCACACATTGGGATCTCCTCGACAAGTAACTAATTTATTCGCGCCGTCGGATCCCAAGGACCTTCCCCAATGAGTTGGGCGCCTTGGACCCATTTCTGATTGCCCGGGGCCCGAAAGTGGCCCGCAGAGGCTGGCATAATGGAAGAACGCGGCGATCCCTGAGATCCGACGGTGCGAACTCGCGAAACAATGCAACTGGGACCCTAGACCCCATTCAGCGGCATTTTTCCGGCTGGATCGATCTGTGATGGTCCGGGGCCCGAAATTGGGCGTTACAATATAGCAGCGCTTAGATCTCAGGAGTGGAAAAATCATGTCGTCGGTCTGGGACTGTGCCCAAACCAAAGTCCCTGCTTCGGCAGCCCTTCGGCAGCGTCAGCGGCGGCGCGGCGGCGGCGAGGACGACGAATATGCTCACCACTGGGGAAACCAAATTATACCTATACTGCAGCTCACCAGACCTCTACCTGGACGCGTTCTGACCATGATTTCAAGGCGAATTCAACCGTGGCGAAGAGGGCCTCCCACGAGGCCGAGAAAATCGAAAACGCAGGAAGGTTAGATCCGACGTAGCGAAACACGGCAACATCGTGTGGCAAATCACGATCAGAGCTCAGAGCTCAAGCTCAGAGCTTCATTTTCCTAGCCAGATCGATCTTTGAGGTTCCCGGGGCAAGGAGTATTGCGAAAACGCCTAGTGTAGAAAAGTGCGACGCTTGGATCTCAAGGGAAGGGTTGCAGTATCAATGCCTATAGATCCGATGACGTGTTCTTTTCAATACAAGGTCACCGAAATCCTCGACCCCTCCCCGAAGACCAAATTTTTTTATCCTGAGTCGTCTTGTGACGGTCCCGGGGCCCGGCAAGTGCCTCCAGAGGCCGAAAACAACATAACCTTTTCGTCTGGATTTCTCAGGGTGCCTTCCCAGACATCCGACGCCTCGACTTTTTCGAGACGCGGACCCCCGACCTCCCGACCACTTCCCAGGGACCGCTTTTTCGTCCCGAGTCCTTCATTCGCGGTCCCGAGGCCCGGCGAGGGCCCCGGCCGGGAGGCCGAAAACGACGACAGACCTCCATCTCGACTGTATCGAGACGCCCGGTGTCTGGGTTTTCCTCCTCTGACGCCCCGGGGGGCCCCTGCCTCGGCCGCCTTGCGCCGGTCCGAGCTCGGCGCCGCGACCGGCGCCGGCGCCGGCGCGGCGGCCTGGCGGGCCCGGCCCGGCGGCCTGGCCAACTCCTCGGCGGCGATGTCGCGCTCCGGCCCCAGACATGTGCGACGTCTTGGGCAAAGATCAGGGCGGGCTTGCGGGATTTTCGGCCTCTGGGGGTCCTTGCTGGGGAGGAGGAGGAGGAGGAGGAGGAGGAGGAGGAGGAGGAGGAGGAGGAGCCAAGGTGACGTCAGGAGATAAAGCTCGCCCTTCCCCTCGGCCTCTGGGGGCCCTTGCCGGGCCCCTGGGGCCGTCCAAGAACGGCTCGGCCTGAGAAGCCGGCCCTTGGGAAAGGGTTGGGACTTCCGAGGGCCGCGCACTGAACAACGCAAGACATCGCACGTCTGGGGCCGGCGTGCGGCGGGGGTCTGTGAGGTCCGGGCGTTGCAAATTTTTCACAATGGGCGTTTTCGCCCCAGGACCGTCGCACATCGACCCGGCTCGAAACGTCAGATGGGGTCTGGGGCTCGGGTGGTGATGTTTCGCGAAGCTGCAGCTGCATTGTCCGCAACGTCGTATCGCAATGTCACGATCGGCGCCGCGCGCTGGCTCGTGTTGTCGAGGCGACGATGGAGGAGGAGGAGGAGGAGGAGGAGGAGGAGGAGGAGGAGGAGGAGGAGGAGGAGGGGGATAAGGAGGAAGAGGAGGAGGAGGAGGAAGAGGAGGAGTAGAAGGATGATGATGATGCTGATGATGATGAGGAGGAGGAGGAGGATGAGGAGGATTGGGAGGAGGATGAGGACGAAAGTGAGGAATAGGAAGGAGGAGGAGGAGGAGCATGATGATGCTGCTGCTGATGATGATGCTGATACTGATGATGATGCTTATGATGATGCTTATGATGATGATGATGCTGATGATGATGCTGCTGCTGATGATGATGATGATGATGGTGGTGACGATTATGATGGTGGTGATGGTTATGGTGACGATGCTGATCGTGATGATGATACTGCTGACGACGATGATGATGCTGCTGATGATGATGACGATGCTGATGATGACGATGATGACGACGATGATGGCGATGATGATGATGCTGACTACGATGATGACGACGATGTTGATGATGATGCTAACGATGATGATGATGATGATGATGATGATGATGATGATGATGATGATGATGATGATGATGATGATGATGAGGATGATGATGATGATGATGATGATGCTGCTGCTGATGATGATGATGATGATGAGGATGGTGATGCTGATGCTGGTGATGATTATGATGATGATGATGATGATGATGAGGAGGAGGAGGAGGAGGAGGAGGAGGAGGAGGAAGAGGAGGAGGAGGAGGAGGAGGAGGAGAAGGGGGAGGAGGAGAAGGAGCAAGAGGACGGGCATGCACACTTCCATGGCCTTTGCAGGGTGGTGGTGGCGGAAGCAGGCGCGAGACCGAGCACGCCCAGGCGCAAGCGTCGTCTCCAATGTCTCCTCCGCGGTGGCTGGCGACCTCGCCGAGGACCACACGCGCTGCCTGTGGGGGGAGCGTGCGAGTCGCAGGACAGACGGGTAAGGAGAGGCTGCCGGCGGAGGGTAAGCCAAGGCCCGGCAGAGTTGTCGGTCAGGACGGGCACGATGGGGAGGACCAGGGACAAGAGGAGGCCGCAGGAGCGGAGGGAGGGGAGAAGCAGGAGAGGGAACTGGGCGGAGGGAAGGGGAAGGACGACACTGCGGCGGACGTCGGAAGACGATGATGATGATGATGATGATGATGATGATGATGATGATGATGATGATGATGGTGAGGATGATGATGAGGATGATGATGATGAGGATGATGATGATGGTGATGATGATAAGGAGGAGGAGGAGGAGGAGGAGGAGGAGGAGGAGGAGGCGGAGGAGGACAGGATGGGGGATAAGGGTGGGGATGGTGGGGGATGCCGTGTGGATCAGGAAGGGGCGAGGGGGCATGAGGATGGCGAGGGATTGGAGGAGGGGGGGGAGAACAAGGGGGGAGGGAGTGAGGGAGGGAGCAAGGAGGAGGAGGGAAGGGGGGCATGATGAGGTTTCGGATGAGGGAGAAGGATGATCGGGCGAGGGAGGGGGAACGGGGGAGAAGCAATACGGGGAAGAAAAGAAAGGGGGGGGGACAGGAGGAGGGGGACGAACGGACGGACACAGGAAGCATGCTAAGGATAAGGCGCCTGGGGCGGCACGCGGTGGCCGCATCACGGGCTCATGTGGCCTCCCTGCGAGCGACGAGTAAGAAGGGCCCGTTTGAGGGCCTTCCAGCTGGTGCAGCTGGCGCCTCTGGGGCCCTCGCTGGAGCCGCTACGGCGGGTTGTAATCCAAAGAAAAATCGAGGGCAGAGTCCTCTCAAGTCCTTTTGAGGGCGTGGGCGGCGCCCATGCAGGACGCGGGCAGCTACGGGAGGGGCAGGAGGGGCAGAAGGGGGCGGGTGGAGGGTCTGGAACATGTCGCTCAAGCGGGCGCGCGGGCTCTCCTGCGGCGTCCCTCTCCTCGCCCCAACCTCCTCTTCCCCCCCCCCCCCTCCGATGCCGAGCCTATGGGCAAGACCCTGCTGCAATTGCACGGTGACTCAGTGCATTTTCTGGGACGCGTTACTATCACCCCCTTATAATCTTACCACCATACATTCCACCTCCGTGGAGCATCCTGTCAGCACACTTCGCAACTTCCACGTTGTTTTTTCTCGGAGGTCGTCGACGTCGTCGTTGAGGCAAGAAGAGGCCTATGGGCAACATCCGATGTCGATACTTGGCTGGACGCATCAACTATTATCTTCACGCTCTCTTGCCTATGCAGCTTCCGCCGTGGCTGGGTCTTTCTCCTGCTCAACCTCCTTGCCGTCTCCGCCCTCGGCTATGGTGTCGCGACCCTTGCCGTCGGGCTTTTTCTGCCAAGAAAACTGGATCCAAGAGTCCTCGTCGTTGGGGTCCAACAGCGAGAAGTCGATTCACTTGCTGGGGCCGTTTTCTGCCAGCCGCACTTGATCCAGGAGTCCTCGTCGCCGGGGTCGAGCAGCGAGAAGGCAGTCCACCTGCTGAGGTCTTTCTTGGTCCAGTGGTTCTTGATCCACTTGGCCTCCTCGTCATCGCAAAAGACATTGGACTTCTCGTCTGCCTGCTGCTTCAGGTACTTTTTATTCTTGGACATGACGTTGTACATGTAAGCTCCGACTTTCAACTGCTGCCGGGATCCCATCATCATGGCGTTGCTGTCCGTCAGGCGCTCGTTCTTGCCCTTCAGCTGGATCCTGGTCTCTATCAGTGCCATCATCTCGCTTCCACTGCTCGGTCATTCCTGGTTTGCCCTCGCTTGATACATGCGCTGCGCCGCCTTTAGCTCCATCGGCCCCTCGATGATCGCGTTCATGCTGTCACTGGTCTCGCTCGTGACTGCGACCGCCTGCGCCATGATGTCGTGCGCGGTCTCCGGTGCGTGCTTGGTGCTGGTCTCCGCTGAGCCATCTGTGTTACTGTCGTATACCTGCGTTCCCTCGGCCATTGCGCGTAGCTGAATACTTCTTCGGTCGAAATGGTTGTCTATGTACGCGAGGCCAGGGCGCCTCGCCTCAAATGTATGAAGCCAGCCTCTGGAATCATAATGCTATGGTTGTGGGCTTCTGGCAATGCTTGGTCTCTTCTTCCCCCGTAGTGTGAAATGGTGCCCGCCCATGCTCATCATCTCGTAATTACTCGTCGTGGGTGGTAGCTGGAACCGGGTGGGCGCGTGGGCTTATTGCGATGTTTCCTCGTCGTCTTCACGCTGCCGTAACCGCCCAGCCACCGTCCCCAACGCCGTATTGTTTGTGATGGTTCGGCTGTCCTGCGCGTGCTGTTGCAGTAATGTACTCTCTGATCGTTGAGCGGGTCGTATCCAATCGCTGGAGACGGCTGCGCCAGGGTGCCTGACCCTCACCCCCCTCGCTCTCCTGCCCCTCGCCATCCAGGCGTGCCGTGATCCCGTCGCAAGTCACTACCTATGACCAATGCAGCAACTGCTTCTAAGCCTCTGTCGGCCACGCTTGCCTGCTCCAGCGACAGACCTGAAGGTGGCTCTGATGCCTGCAGTTCTCTCCTCCACATGTCTGCTTCGCAAATCGGCCTTGAATGGAGAGCTCTCTCGATGCTCGCGAGCTTGCGCCAATGCTATCCTCTTCCTCCCGTCTCCCTCCCTTGCGAAACCTTGCGGTGATGTGCCGCGTCCAACCCGCCTGGTCGGACAAACATAAGGTGATGCTTTTGCTGTGTACAACCCTATGTAACCACTGACTAGTTCTCCTGCGGGCACGCGCATGGTTGCCCGTCGTCGTTAATCCCAGTCCACCCCTGCTCATGCTGTCTGGCAGAGTGTCCTGCATGTGCTGTCTCCAGGCTCCGAAGTACGTGGCGTAGTCAGATGGTTGCTTCATCTTGTTGCTCTTGCTGGTCATTTGCTGTGCCGCACTTTGGGTAGTCGGTAGGTGCCCTTCTCTCTCCTGCTGGATAACCCTCGGGAAGAAAGGTCGGTGGATGCGGCGAGGGCCAATCCAGGATTGTTCCACTTCGAGTGCTTCCGTGCCGGTCATGCCCGCAACTGCGCGCTCGCCCGCCTCTGGGGCTGGCTTTGCTGCATCGTCGTTCTGGCTGCTCAGCGCCCCAGGGGCAACTTGAGGTGCTTCTTGCGCGCCCTCTTGAGCTCGGTCTTGGGCCCGCAACTCTGGCTCTTCACTCCCTTGATGTTCGCCGTGCCGTGGTCAAAGCCCCCCGTGAGAGTGCTCGGCTGCCTCGTGCCGAGGCGTCTCAGCAATGCCAGGTCGATTCCCTTGTCCTGAAAGTGCGCTCTGAAGTTGGGTGACGCGTTCGCCGCGTAAGTGACCTTGCCGCGACGGTCGTCGTCGTCCGTGCCGTCGCGCGCGAACGTGTCATGCGCCTTGCAGATGAGGGCCATCGTCGCTTTGATGGGGCCGTGCTCCGTCTCGCATGCCGCGATGAGCTGGCCCTGGGCGTTTTCCTCGAGCGCTTCATTGAGACCCTTGATCAGGGGGCGCCATGTTGATGTGCGGCGGCCCGAGACCATGCTCCTTTCCCATGGCCCTGACCGTCGCCGTGTAGTCCAAGCCCGCGTTGAGACAATCCTTGTACGCCCGCGCCAGAGCTGGGGCCAGCCAACAGCTCGTGTTGAGATGCATCAGCTCCCTCCTCTCCTGCGACGTCCTCGGCGCGAGCTTGTGCAGCGCGGGCAGCGCGTCGGCGAACCAGATTGCTCCGCTCTCGTTGCCTCCGGGAGACTCGCTGCCTCCTTCGCCTGCTCCCTTCTGCTTCGTGCCGCCGTCTCCGTTTGACTTCGCCTCGTCCTCCCCTCGTCTGACCCCTAGCCCTCGTGCGCGCCGCGGCTCCATCAGGTGCTGGGCGGTCGGCTCGTGCGGAACGGGGTCCAGTGTGGCGTTGTCGAGCGCGCAACTGAGACTCCAATAAATTTTGAGCTTCATGGTTTGAAAGCGCGCAAACGTAACCCTGTGGCTCCTGCGCTGGGTGCGGCCACTTGCTTCTGTCGACGTGACATGTTCCGTGAAGGACAGCCGCCCTGGTCGCGTGATCTATGGCCGTCCGACGATTACTGGAGCTGCTGGGACACCGCGGGCATTGGTTCGTCACGACAATCTGAGCTACCAACGGCCGCGCGTCGCGCATTTCCTTCCCGTGCCCTGCCAACGCCCGCGCTGTCGCAAATTCTGCGCCAGCGCCCCCCCCCCATCTTCCTCCGCGTGCGCATGGTCGCGCCAACGTGGCTGCCCCAACTCCGCTGCCCCCGCCTCTCCGTCGCCCCCCATCCTCCTGTGACCGCGTGCCCGCTGCGCTTCGCGCGGACGGTGGGTCCGTGGCCGCCCGCTGCAGTCGCTCGGGGGCGCCTGGGGGCAGGCGAGCTTAAGTCGGACGTTCTTATCCAACAAAGGACCCTCGGACGTCGTCACTTGGCGTTGCTAGGGCCTCTAAGTCCGCTTGGTACTGTTTCGTTCGAGGTGCGGGGTCTCCTGTCGCATTTCCGCCCCTTTGTTCGTCTGGCTCCCTCGACTTGGCCCAGGTTGGAGTCTCCGAGCGCCGCCGCGGAATCTGCCTCGCGGCCCCGCGGGCAACGCGTCCGTCGCGCGTGCCGTCGCAAGCGCCTCGCGCGTGAGGCAATCACAATCCGATCGGCCCATTCCCTGAACGCCCTATCCGTATTGTGGCGTCGCACCCCCTCCCCTCACGCAGTGCGAGCACATTCTAAGCAAGTCTAGCATCCAGTGCGACAACGAAGCGCTTCGGAAACAGGAAACGCGCGTGCTGCGAGTCCGCTCAGCGGTGCTCCAATGGCGAAGCCAATGAACATCACTCGTGTCACTGGCTGGGGGGTCTTGCTCGTCCTGGAGCGCCCCCCTGCCCCCGCGCAGGTCTGGCGGCTTCGTCTCCACGCTGTATCTCTCTCCCCCCCTAGCCTTGGCTGCTGGGTATGTGCGGCGCGGCCCCGATGCCTGCGTTTTTTTTGTCGTGGTACCTTCCATGTCTTTGCTGTTTCTCAGTGCGCGCGTCGCTCGAAAGCTGTGCGTGCCTTTGGCACTGAGAAGCTATACAAATATACATATATATATATATATACACATACATATATATATATATATATATATACATACATACATACATATATATATATATATATATGCCTATGCATAACGGGACGTGGCGCCGATTGCCGCTGTTGGGCGCCTGCCCCCGCCTGCCCGCGGCCCCGTTGCCGCGCGCGGCAACCTCTGCCATGTAAGGTCTTGGTAATATCGCCCGTGCAAGCGTTGCGCGCCACTGCGTGCATTTTCTGTGCGTGATGGGGTGTTCTGTGTCGCGCGAGATCTGCGCGATGTCGGCGCATCCGTCGTCGTGCCGTTTTTGCGCATGGATGTTGTAATAATCTTTGAATTCGTTGCCATGGCTCCAATGTGAATCCAATTTGCAGCCCGTCGCTGGGTGCCGTGCGTGCTTGTCCGTTGGTTGTGTCCATTGCCAAGCAGGCGTTGTTGATGGCTGCCGTCGCAAACGGTCTGTTATGGTCGGATGTGCGCTTCCATGCTGCTGCTTGCAGCAGTCGCCGGTCTGTGCTCGCAGACGCAATGGTGCAGTCGCAGTTGGGGTGGATCGTGCTGTGCCCCGCCTGTTTGGCTCGCAACTGGGTGGCCTGCGCGCGCAAGGCGCAATTTTTCCCCGCATCGATGCGCAACGCCCGCCCTTGCGCTCAAACGGGGCGGTCGGCGCGCTCGCCCCTACCTGGCAATCCTGCGTGCCAACTCATCCCGAAACTGTAACAAGCGTGCATCATCCTTTTCCCGGCGCTGCCTGCTTCGTTGTGATTGTTATCTGGGTCGAGCGCCATGCTGCGTTGCCAATCCAGCGGCGTGGTTTGTGTAGCCCGGTGCAGGCGCAACGGGCCGTCAAACATTTATTGTCCTTTCATTCTGTTTGGTTTTCCATGCTGTCTGGATTCATATTGTGCCGCTCCCGTCCCGCGCGCTGTGTCCTGCCAACAGAATGCGGTCCCGCTGTCGCGTTCCCCAGCTCATTCTCTTCCTGTCCCACCCAACTTCGCCCGTGCAGCCCGCCCCATTTTTCCAGCATGCCTCTGCCTCTCTTGTACTGTAAGAATGTAGTGCACTTAGCCAACTCATCCTCGTCCTCTTCTGTTCATCGCATGCTATTGCTTGTTGTTTAGTTTCTCATCTCCTGGTTGGGGCTCCCGAGGTTGGCCTGGGGATCCAACGACATCCAAGTGCATTCTACTGGCAGTCCCCTGGCAGGCCGTGCACGTCTTTTTTTGGCCTTCCTGCAGTGCCTGAGCATACCCCTCTTTGCCTCTTTCCACCGCATGCAACTCGTCGCCGTCCACAGCTAGATGTAGTTGCTCAGCTTTTGCCTCCTCTTACGCCTGCCTTGGCGCCTGAACGCACCTCTAATCTCCTCCCAATCCCCCAATCCTCCTTCGCGTGGGTGCTTCCCTTGCCCTCCTATCCACCGTTATCTGGTCCTAGTTGTTGTCGGACTGGAAGATTGTATGTTTCTTGGCCCCCCACCGTTCATGTTGTGCGCTATCCGTAGCCGGTGCATCGCTGCAGAACTGGAAGCCCCAAATGCTTCCCAGATCTGCTGCACTAACTTCTCCCGTCGTTTCGCTAACTGCTCCGCCCTCATTCCCTTGAGCCGTGCCGATGCTGTCGCTAAATCTTCCGCAACCCAGTCGTGCTCTTCGTTGGTATTACCTGGTTGGAGCTAGAGTCGGAGTTCTTCTTTTGACCGGCAGCTCCATCCGTTTGACTCTGACAGCTTTCCCGTCTTCGTCCAATGTGGGGTCTATATGTCCAAGCACGCTGCGCAACGCACTCCTAGTAGCCTCTCCGTACAGCGCCCATGTAAGATCTGGTGTGCTGCTGCTCTTGGCCTCCTCCCACCTGTCCCCTGGCATCCTCCTCCTAT